GGAGGAAGGAGGATGAGAACCAAATTAATTGAAACTGAACCCCCTCTATCATACTGTGTTGAGAACTTAATGAAATTTTTCGGATGGTTGCAAGAACTAGACCAACCCCAAGAAAGACATGAATTGTGAAGTGAGTGTACGTCTGGTGAATAATGTGTGGGATTTGTTGCGTCACAATAAAAGAGGGTCAGGCAAGAAAAATGAACTGTTATTATCGCAAATATTTTATTGAAAGTACGATAAAGGTCATTAGCGAGGACAGTCTCATTTGTTTAAAATGCGGGAAGATTGCAACACAAAGAAAGGAGCAAAATACACGTGTAAAACATGCTATTTCAAAATTATATGTAATTTTGCCAATCGAAGTTGCTGGAGGAACAAAATCAAATTGTGTGTTTTGTAAGAAAACATGTTTTGGCATGCACAGTTGGACATGCGCACTGGCGTATTATGGCTTTAATTTAGGGAAATAGGCATCGCAACACGCCATAGTTCTTTAATAAAACTTGATACATGTTATTTGTATACACATGCATCCTCAACTTTCATTAAGTCTAGTTGTCAACAAAAATACTAAACTTCAGTAGCTTTAGTTCAGGAAATCTCATCATGTTCTATATAGATACACTTACTGGTAGTTGTTTATACCTTTTTCTTTCAACAAACAATCTTTTTTGTTTCGAATTACAAATAACAACAGCCCTAATTTCAGAATTGATAATGAAATTATTTTAATACGTGTAATTATAAACACTACATTTACAAAACAGGATGTCTGTGTTATTCTTTAAATATTAATTTTCTTTTAAATATTATACAGAACTACTTTTCTGTTCAAAAATATATGTAAGACAGCAATTACAATGCCGGAAATCCTACAGTCAATGAGCATGTTGTCTTTACTTTTGTTCCCGTTCCCTAAATACTAGAATTATATTTTTCTGTCTTTTGCCTAAGCTTACTGTATAACATGCTCTGATTGGCTGACAGACTGCGGGGTCTTGCGAGTGTCTGTCACAGGAGGTTGTCGTCCGGGCTACAAAATCTGCCTTCCAAATACCCGATTCATTGTTGCTTACTACACCTCTAGCAGAATAATCAGGAAACTCAATGTTTTTATCTCACATCTATTATGCAGATTATTGTATGACAAAATGTGCTGTGTGTTTATTTATCCCCAATATTCATCATAATCATAAAACCAGGGACAAATTCCTCGAAAAAACCTTCAGGCTTGAGTTTTCTGAAAGTTCCTTGTCCTTAGATCTGATTTTTTTATGAGTTCTCTTGAAATTTCTATTTATGTGTTCATTCTTCCGTAATTTCTAATGTTCATGATTACCAACAAATAATTAAGGTGCAGTTCAAATGTCCTTGAAAAAAATACGGTCGTAGCAAAAACTGTTTTCTTGAAATTTTCGGCTTTATTCTAGATTTATGAATGATTTTCTGGAATTTGTTTTTTTCATTAAGAATGTTTCGGACTAGCGTTTATGTCAAAAATAATATCAGATGCAATTTATTCAATTATGAATTAAAATAAAACTTATTTTACGAAAAGTTGAGTCTTTTGAGCTACTTCCCCTTAAGAAATCAAGGCACTTTGTATCTGTAGTTTGACAGGTATCTAGTTGAGGAAACAGATTTGTTTTCATGATCGCTGAATTCGCAACATACATACCAATTTAGAGCTTGTATTAACCTTTCTTTTAGAACAAAAGGATATTTGAAGACTGTCACAGATGGTTTAATTTTAGCTTTCTGGAATGGACTGCATGTTATAAAACCATTCCGCTATTAATTCCAATATCAGATTAATGTTTTTGGAAGATTTTCATTGCAATTTCATTTTTAGCTCACCTGGATGCTCACCCTGACCTCTGTCTGGATATTTCAGTCCTGTCACTGTCCCCATCCTGTCTGGATATTTCAGTCACTGTCCCAGACATCTGTCTTAATATTTCAGTCTCTGTCCCCATCCTCTGTGTAGATATTTCAGTCACTATCACTGTCCCCATCATCTTTCTGGATATTTCAGTCACTGTCCCCGACATCCTTCTGGATATTTAACCGCTGTCCCCATCCTCTGTATGGATAGTTCAGTCTCTGTCCCCATCCTCTGTATGGATAGTTCAGTCTCTGTCCCCATCCTCTGTCTGGATATTTCAGTCACTGTCACTGTCCCCATCCCCTGTCTTGATATTTCAATCACTAACACTGTCCCCATTCTCTGTCTCGAAATTTCAGTCACTGTCATCGTCCCCATCATCTGTCTGGATATTTCAGTCGCTCTCCTCGATATCTGTCTGAATATTTCAGTCACTCTCCCCATTTTCTGTCTGGATATCTCAATATCTGTCCAAATCCTCTGTTCAGTCACTGTCTTCATTATCTGTTGGAATATTTCAGTCTCTGTCCCAACCATCTGTCTGTATATTTCAGTCTCTGTCCCCATCCCCTGTCTGGATATTTCATTCACTGTCCCCATCCTCTATCTGGATATGTCAGTTACTGTCCCTATCCTCTATCTCGATATTTCAGTCACTGTCCCTATCCTCTATCTGGATATTTCTATTACTGTCCCATCCTCTATCTGGATGTTTCAGTCACTTTCCCTATCCTCTTTCTGGATATTTCAGTCACTGTCCTCTTCCTCTATCTGGATATTACAGTCTCTGTCCCCATCTTCTGTCTGGATATCTCTATTACTGTCCCCATCTTCTATCTGGATATATCAGTCTCTGTCCGTATCCTCTATCTGGATATTTCTTTTACTGTTCCCATCCTCTGTCTGGATATTTCAATCACCTTTGTTTTCTTGAATGTTTTGGTGTAAGAACAACAGTAGTTTATAATTTTCCTCTGAAGAACGGAATGGCCTTGATTCAGGATTTTAGGCTGGCAGCTTACTGTAATGGATCGCAACAAAGTTGACAAATAAATATGGCCTTGACCTTTATTCACAGTCCAAGGGGTCGGATATGTCAACAAATTCAAATGACTTCTGAACAACCCAGGAGATATATATAGACTGATGATGTAAGGCTGGCTGCTGGCAAGGAGAGAGCCCAGGAAAATTTGTGAATAAAAATTACGTTTACCTATATTCAAAATCACAGGAGTCAAAATTATCAAAATCTTCAAATGACTTCTCCTAAAGAACTGAAAGGTCTATAATCAGGTTATCACACTGTTAGCTTCCCAGGATGGAGCCCAAAAAAATTGCGAATAGAAATGACCTTGACCAATATTCAAGGTCACAGGGTTCAAATATGTCTAAAATTCCAAACAATTTCTGAAGAAGAATAGAAAGGTCTTGAGTCACGATATTAGGCTGGTAGTGTCCTGGGATTGATCCCCAAACAGTTTGCAAATAGAAATAATTTGACCTATATTCAAAGTTACAGGGGTCAAATTTGTCAAAAAATATCAATCCAACTTTCCTAAAAAATCTTAAATTCTAGATTGATGATATTATGCTGGTAGCTCCCTGGGATGGAACCCAACAAATTCGGTCATTTTGAAAATGTTCTTGAGCTATATTCAAGGTCACAGGGGTCATATGTGTTCAAAGTTTCAAATGCCACGAATCACATTATTTGGCCAGTAGCATGCTGGGATGAAGGACTATGAAATTTGTTCCAATGAATGATATTCGCCTATATGGTCACTGGGGGTCAGGTATGTGAAGAACTACGAAAGATCTTTTTAAAATTCATATGAGTTCGAAGTTCCCCTTGGTCCATATAGCTATCAGGGAATCAAAAAAGCCGCGAAGTAGCCATCTTGGATTTGGACATTTCAAGATCGTTATTGCTATTGCTAAGAAGCACATGAGAGATCTTTTCTCAAATTTCATATGTACTATAAGTTCTCCTTTGTACAAATTTATTGATGTTTCATTATGGGACTGATTAGAAAATCAAGATGGCCATTGATTAGGCCATCTGTGATTTAGAGATTTCAAGATTGTTGTCGCTATTTCTCAATTTTCATTTAGGACTAATAAAAAAAAAAAAAATGGCTGACAGGCAGACATCTTGGATGTTTAAAGTTCACGCTTATTTTCGCTATTTCTCAAAAAGCACCTTTTTCAGTAAGTACTTGACAGATATTTCTCAAATATCTTATGAAAGTTAACCTTGGTCCATTGTTGTGCATGTTTTATTTGGGGAATTCAACACTTGATAATTGATTAGACTTTTGTGGTCATTCTTTATGGGTTAGGGATGGGGGGATATATCTATGTGTGCCCTCACTGTTGAATGTTTCCAATGATTGTCATCATATTTGCTATATTTATGTTTCAGGTGCGTACAGAAACATAACAACATGGCTTCCAATCAAGAAATTCCAGAAGAAGCCTTTGAAATTCACAACGAAATGGTGGATTATCTTGGTGAACAAATTGATGATGACCACCTATGCCGACTTAAGAGGCGGTTTAATAATATCCCGCTTACCCCTGTTGACATTGATAAAATCCATGATATATCCGGCTTATTCAACCGTCTTATGGAAAAAGAGAAGATAGGTATTGGCAACTATACAAAAATTATATCAAACCTTCGGCAGATCAATCAAAAGCTGGCAACATATGTGGAGAAAAAAGAAAAAGAAATAAAAGCAATTATCAATGGAGGTGAGTTGTAATATATACCTTTATTTATCATTATTATTTAAGTAGAATTGAAAGTTTTCATGACATAGAGGTGTGTATAGCGCACAATTGTATGATAGGATATGTCAAGTTTTTTAGGTGGAGGATGTGGAGAAAACTAATTGGACATTTTGATCTGCTTTAAGGGTTTTCTAATCAAGTTGCATAAGGCCCATGTTTTCTGATGTTTTGCCAGTAGGTACCTGAGATCTATAAAATTTCCTCATACAAATAACCTCGACATACCTTCAAGGTTAGAGGGTCAAATACTTGAAATACTTACAATACTATATTATAGTAGTAAGGTTTTCACATATCCTTTGTATGCCTGTCTGTGTTAGGGAAGACCAAGTCTGGTGATAAACTGTCAACATCTTAAGGATCCATGTCCCACTGCAGAAAAAACACTAGAAAATTCCACTGTAGTGTTTCGTACATTTTTGTTTTGGATATGACAGTAGCATAACAAGGCCATAGTACTTCTGTCATACTTGCCAACTCTCCCTATTTAGAAGCAAGACTCAATATTTTTGACACTTACATTTCGTGTTTCCAACCAGTGAATTTGCTGCACTGTTCCTATATTCTAAGATCTAATGATTTCATTTGAAAGAACAACTCAAAATATGTTATTTAAAGGGTTATTTTGTCTCTAGGGGATGTATACACACAATTTTTTATGTTTTAATTATGTCTCCCCTTCGAATGAAGGGAGACAGTGAATTAGTACTGGTTCTTCTGGTTCTTCTTATCGCAACTTGTCCCGGCCATCAATTTTAAACTGTTTAGAATATCTTGATGAAACTTGAGGTATGCCTGTATCACCCACAGAAGGTGTGCAGTGCACTAGAATTAGGTCTATGTGACCTTCACCTCGAGGTCAATGGTCCAATAAGTGCAACATTTTCAGTAAATTCTTGTCCGGCCCGTAAATCTTAAACCCTTAAAGATATATGGATCAAACTTGAAGTATACCTGCATTGTCTACTTGTCTAAAGAAGATGTGCAGTGCACTTGAATGAGGTCTCGCGCCCCACCATAAACAGAGTTATTGCCGTTTGTTTATTTTTTTATATCGAAGTTTGTCAACGGCATATGTTCGAAACCATTTAAGATATCTTGATCAAACTTTAACTATGCCTACATCACCCAAAGAAAGGTGTGCAGTGCACTGGAATTAGGTATCAAGCCCCACTATATACAGAGTTACGGTCCTTTGTTTATTTTTAATACTAAAGTTTGTCTAAGGCATATCTTCCATGTTATTTCACCTACATTGACCAAACTTGCTATAGTATTGTATCTTGGAAAGTAGGAGTATCGTATTCTAAAATCGAGTCTGGTGCCCCACTATTCATGTGATATATATGTCTCTTTGTTAATATTTTATACCGAAGTTTGTTTGCAGCATAAGTGCCATGTTATTTCTCCTACATTGACCAAACTTGTTATGTTTAGCCAATAGAGGAACCAGATGGTAATCAGATGTGTGCCAATTCCTATTTTTATATACATGTTAATGTGTCTGTAGTACAATAGCTGCCGAAACTTAACCGAAATTGTTAAGACAATTTAACATGAACCAGAATAATTTAAAAAAATAATGGTTTAGAGTTTACACACCTTAATCTTGATGTTACCTTTCTATTTTTCCAAATATGCACATTGGCTAATAAGGGGAGACATATGTTTTTTGTTCACAATTTGTTTTTTCTAGTTTTTAACATGCATGATCTCCCCCATAGAAATTTCAAAAAGTTGGCAAGTGTGTTCTGTAGATAAATATTCTAACTTACTGGTCAGCTGGTTAACAGTGATTGACCATGTCTTGTATGACAGGGTTCATACTTTGGACATTGGGAGGTTAAACTAACTTAATGAATATGTAGAGAAGTTACAACGGAAAAATGGCTTTTTTTATTTTTGTGGCAGTCTGCCCCTTTATCAAATCACACATACAAAACAAAAACAATTACTACTGAATTTCGAATGCTGATGTGGAAAGTTATCCCTGTAGCTATATTGGTGCCAAAGGCTTTTTATAAATAACCTTTTTTCATACTAGAAAATCATTATTTTTTCTACTAGCATTACATTTTTTATTGGGCAGTAATTGTAATTCTAACTTCTGATTGGCTTAAGTTTCTTGGCTTTTAAAAAACTGAGTAATGATGTGTTTAGTACAAAATTGTTCTAGTTTTTAAAGAAACAAAAAGATATTTAATAACTATGAACTAAAAATTATCATTTTCAGGGTTTTAGAGTATATACCAAAAAACTTCTGTGCATAAATCCCATCATGGATTTATTCAAAGTGCAGCTTTTAAGGTGTATACCATATAAACCCCAAAATAGTCCTGGTTAATCCTTGATAAATGTACAAGATCAAAATTTATATTCATGAAGTGAAAATAGAAGCCTTTATTCAAATGGATAATTTCTGATACTTTATTGGTAATAACAAACAACTGTATTCCTTGTATGTACAATTATGTCAATGAAAAGTTAGAAACCAGCACTTCAGTCTAGTTTTGTAATGATCTTAGACTTAATACAAGTAGATATTTGCTGTATCTATATATAGTATATATTTAGTGAAACTCAAAGTTAAGGACATATTTAAATTTACTTACAGGTCCATCACCAGCCAAGCAACCAAGGTCAGGAGATCAAGACCAGCAACAGTCTACAGGTTTGTGATAAGTACATGCTCAGTAGGATGTAAACATGTTAAGTTTGGTCTAGTGAATACGATGTTAGAGGAGGGATGTACATGTACACACAAGTATAAAACATATTGTCTCCCTTTGGGAGGGGGTAAATAGTTTATCTAGGGAAATAACACTTTTGGGTATTTCTTGTCTCTTCTCAGTATAAGAAATTATACAAACATGGTTGGACTAGTCATGATGAAATTGAAATCAAATAGTATCAGAAAGTAAGGTCCTGACCCTCCCCAGGGGTTGGTCAAAGAGGAAAGTTAGCTGAATATAGAAATTATGTAGACATTATATTTCTCAAAAGCAAACTAATTTATTTGAATAAATTTTGAAGTTCTTTTCCTTTAGGGACACTACAATTAATGTATTTAACTTGATTACATTCTGATATCAACTTCACATCTCAACAATGAAATTAGGCAACCCATAATATAACTCAGTTGACCGTTTAAGCCCTTGGGTCTCTTGTTAGTTTATAGTGGGTCATTCTTTCCACCACTTTCAAGGTTGCAGGGGTCAAATGTATTCAATTCTCTAAGCTGAATTACCAAAAGCCACAGTTGATGACATTGGCCAGTACCTAGCTTCCATGAATATATCAACTTTGTTCAAACAAAAGATTTTCACTGATATTAAAAGGTTGCTGGGGTCAGATGTATAATAAAAATATATATATTTCGTGTGTAAAGAGGCAAAGGATGATGATGTTTGGCCAGTAGTGTGCTGGGAAGAACTTCATGAAGGGTTACCAAGTTTATTTGAACAAATGACCTAGATAGACTTATAAGGTCAAATGGGTCAAATGTGTTTTAAACAACTTCTTAATTACCAACAGTTACAGGGTGACGAGTAACATACTTGGAAGAAGGGCTACCACGTTTTACAACTGAACGACCTTGACACACTTTCAAGGTTGCTGGGGTCAAAAGGTCAAATATGTATAAACCTTCTGATCAAATAAAAGACTCAGGGTGATGCTATTTGGACAGTAACATGCTCGTATGAAAGGCTACAAAGTGTGTTTAAGTGAATGTAACCTTGTTAGACTTTCAAAGAATAAAATCTTAATATTTGACTGGTAACTTCTTGGGATGGAGCCTGACATTGGTTGTGAGTGAAAATGACCTTGACCTACTTTCAAGGTCTCAGGGGCAGATATATCAAACATTACAAAGAACTTCTTCTGAATAATCGAAATCCATAGAAGTATAATATTTGGCTGGTAGCTTCCTAAGATGGAGGCCGACAAAGTTTGAAGATTAAAATAACCTTTACCTCAAATATTGCAAGGACTTCAAACGATTCCGTCTTAAGAACCAAAATGCATAGAATCATAATATTTGGCTTGCAGCCCCAGTAAAGTTGGCAAAGAAAATGACCTCGACTATTACAAGGAATAAAAATGTCAAAACCTGTAAATGACTTCTTTTGAAGAACTGAAAGACATATAGAGTCTTGATATTTTACATGTAGCTTCCTTAGATGACGCCCAACATTTTGGGAATAAAAATGATCTTGATTAGTTGCAAAGTCACAGGGATCAAAGGTGTTAACATCTTGAAATGTCTTTTTCTGAATTTCCAGAAGACTCGGGTTGATAATATTTGGCCAGATCTATGATAGAATCAGGGGCTATCACTTGTGTTCCAATGAATAGCCTATTTTAACATTCAAGGTCACAGGTCACATGATAGTTGACAAATGTTTAAAGGAATGGCTTTGACCCACTTTCTAGGTCACAGGGGTTAAACGACAACCTCATTGACCAAGAGCCACAAGGTGATGATATTTCGAATTAAGAGCTACCAAGTTTGTTCAACTGAATCAAGAGCTACCAAGTTTGTTCAACTGAATGACTTTGTTAAGATTTTTAAAGTCACTGGGGTAAAATAGGTTAAAATCTTTTAACAGGTTGTTTTGAAAAACCAAGAGTCATAGATAAGGATATTTATCTTATAGCTTTATGTAGGTTTTAAAGTATTAGAATAATAGCAGGTGAATAATGCATTCGATTGGGCCTCTTGTTTCTTTCAACAACCAAAAGGCCTAGGGTGATGGTATTTTGCAAGTATCAAATTGGGATGAAGAGCTATCAAATTTCAGTGTCATTGGGACCAATTATGTTAAAATATTTAATCAACAAATGGCACAAGTTTGTTCAATAAAATGACTTGATGGCATCACAGGGGTCAATTGGCTTATAAATACAAACTTTAAACACTATTTTTTGATAACAAAAGGGATGAAGGTGATGATATTTTGCCTTTTCATTTTATTGAACAAAAGGGACGAAGATGATGATATTTTGCCTTTCCCATGCTGGAATGAAGAGCTATCAACTTTGTTCAAATGAATGACCTTGCCATATCTTCAGGGTCACAGGGGTCAAATATGTCAAACATTTCAAGTGACTTGATCTAAAGAACCGAAAGGTCAAGAGTGCTATATTTGCCAGTAGCATACATAGGGGAAAGGAAATAAGGTTTATTGAATTGATCATGAATGACTTTGACCCACTGTTACGATAAAAGAGGCTCATATGTTAAAATATTTCTATATACTTCTTTTGAATAGATGCCAAGTCTTCTGAATAATCAAATGTTCCAGAATGATCATGGACAATAATTTGTTGAATTAAAAGAAATTTGAAATAAGTTGACTTGATTAGTGAATATACATGTTTATCATATTTTTCCAGGTGATCTGGCTGCTAAGAATGTCACAACAGCAAACACAAGCCATGACAAAAGTAAGTTTGACAGTTGCAAGGTTGCTTGATCAGTGGAATATAGAGATTATCTCCCCTTTCAATCAGGTGATTTAGTGAATCATTTAAGTAAAAGAAACAACGTGGTTATTTTGACATAACATTGATACAAGGTGTTTGTGAGTCAGAAGCCAAGTACTAGTTATCTATACATGTAAGGATATCTACTGGTGCACTACATGTATTATGATTCATGGTTTGGAAATAAATTAGTCAAATTCAGATTACAACATGAGATTAATAATTAGTAAGAAAATTGCCTGTAATAAATAGTCTGTTTAAAATTCAGTAAGCTATGTCTAACCTATTTAATATAAACTTCTTTACAGAAATCCATCCTGACTTAGAACCCATGATAGGTGAGTCTTATCTACTGGATTGGACATGGTTAGAGAAGAATTACAGCAGATTACCTTAAAACCTGGACCAGAACAACATGTATCATCTAAAGATATATGAAAGAAGTCTTCTACTTCTGTTTGAATGAGAATCTTAGTTCACCAAAAGAGTAACTCTTGATAGCCAGATTTATCCCCAATCTGATAAAGTTTATTCTTTCTCTGTTTCTGTTCTCTACAGTATAGGATCTAGCAATCGGTACATAACAGGTCACATTCTGGTGAATTTTATTGAATTGAAATGTCCTCCAAATAGTCTCAGTATTTCAAACACATGTATTTAATGTATAATTAATCATGACTTCTGTATTAAAAGGTCACCAGATCATGATTGATGATGGCATGTCATCAGATCCTACACTATTGATAATGTAGAGGAACTGAATAAAATATTTAATTGATACTCTCAGCTGGAACAAAGTACCAGGGTGAGCTTATGTTTTGGTGCTTCATCTGTCGTCGTCTCGGTCGTCCCATCACCTTTTGATTTAAATGAAAACTCCTTCCAAATTATAGAGCGTAATTCAACCAAATTTTAGCATCCTGAGGCCAAGGGATAACAATATCTATAAATGAAGGTGCTAAACGCATTTAGGGGCTGAGAGATGGGTCAAAAGGGGTCAAATAGTTGAATTTGCTTAAAATGACATATCCTCCTAAAATATAAAACAGATTTCAACCAAGTTGTACTAGCGGCATGCCTTAAACGATTGGATCAAAAACTAATCATAAAAAGGAGCTAACAATCTTGGGGATTGCTGGATGGAATTTAAAGGGGCCAACTTTGAGGAATTTGTTAAAACCAAAATCTACTGGTCAGGTTTTAATCAAATTGTTGTGGTAGCGTCCATAGCCCATGGTGGTCAAAAGTAATTCAAATAAAGGGGCGGACATTCTTGGGGCTCTGGACCCAACCTACTGAGCAGATTTCAACTTGATTTCCCAAATAGCCAGGTGAGCGATTCAACGCCACTGGGCCATTTGTTCTGTAACGCTTATAAGTTTCTTCATTCATGAGGTATTGGATTGTAACAGAGGATATAATTCAGTTTAATGTTTTCACTAGAAAATGAACACTGGATCACTGGCTTACTAGTCTGACCCTCTACTGATTGGATTAAAAAGAAATTCTCTTGTTTGCTTGAAATTTCAAAACTCTTCCTTTACAAATGATTCCTTACAGTATTCTGTGATTATTATCCGACTTATAGATTATAGCCATATAAGTATCGTTCTTAACTATCCATTTAACACATTGATGACTTCTCACCCTTTTTTCTGTTATATTTTTTATACAGAAACAATCAAAGCCAAGATCAGAAAAGAAAAAGAAAAAAAGTTTCACCCCACCAAAGGTTTCTGTGATGCTAAAGACAAGCTCCAAAAGAACAGGGTTGTCATCATCAAGGGAAACACGGGAGACGGTAAAACAGCAATCGCCGTTCAACTCCTTCATTGGCTGAGTCAGGAGCAAGAAGCAGGACAACCCTTACAGCTTCACAATATTGAGAAATTAGATTTATTGGCTCCAAACTTAAAACTGATCACATTTATTGATGATATTTTTGGTGAGAAAGATGTGTGTAAAAAGGATGTACAAGAGTGGAACAAAAGAATCTCAGATGTAAAAACACTTTTTATTGATGAACAAACAGAGACCAACTTTCTTCTCATTACTGTTCGCAATGAAGTATTTTATTATTTAGAAAAACGTTCTTTTGGAACAATTTTTAGCAAAGACAACTTAATTGATCTTAGCTCTGATACATACAAAGTTGAAGAAGAGAAAAAAAGACTTTTAGAGCTGTATAAGCCAGAACACTTTTCATGGTCAGAGGAAGAAAAAAATCAAATTTTAACTTACGCACCAAACATTGGATTCCCACAATGTTGCCAGCTTTTCTACAATTCTAAAAAATTGCAGAAAGAACGAGTTAGATTTTTTGAAAATCCTTTTCATTTTTTGAATGAAGCGTTGTCAAAATTACAAGAATGTTCTGCCCTTTTGTTTCTCTTCCTCAATAATGGTAGGATAAGTGTAAAAGATCTGGATCCAAACAGTCAAAAAGTCAACCAAAAATTGCTGGAAGAAGCTTTTGATATCAATTTAATTGATGGTGAAAATGGCAGTACCAATTTGACATATAAGAAAAAAATAGGATTTGTAAAAGAAAGTTTAGAGAAATTGTTTGGATTTTTAGTAGTGAAGGAGAAATGTTGGTTTGGTGAGGATGTGTACAGATTTAATCACGATTCTATTTATGTTGCTGTGGCACTTTTGTATGGAAAAGCCACACCAATTGGCTACATACAGAATTGTCCCAGCAAATCCCTCAGTTTTCTAACAACCTCAGAAACAGCCTCAAACATGATTGTTTTATCATCTGATCATTATACAGAAATGTGTGAGCGTCTACTCCGAGAGTTTGAATGTAAGGAGAATCGATATGATACTTGTATTGGCTCTCTACATGTATGGAATGATTTTGTATTTGTTAAAAGATTTGTCGGGTTGTTGAATGACAGAAAATATGATAAACTTAATGTGTTGAATAAAGCATGCTTTTTTGGTGCAGAAGAATGTGTTTTATATCTTCTGTCAAAAGGTGTGAAACCTGACAATGACACAGCATTGTCATTGGTTAGTAGTAGATATTGGAATGCTAGTAACAGACAAGTGTGTTTACTTAGGAAAATTGCTGTATATTTGAATGATGAGACAAAACTTGCTGTGTTGAATGAAGCATGTTCTTCTGGTGCAGAAGAGTGTGCTTTATATCTTCTGTGTGAGGGAGTAGAACCTGACGAGGAGACAGTGTTTAGTGTGGTGAAGGGAGAGAGTGTGAAAGTGTTACGTAATCTACTGCAGTATAACGTCACTCGTACAGCGAGGTATACTAACAATTACAATGTCCTACATATGGCGTGTAGGTATGAGAGAGAAGAGATGGTGACGTTGTTATGTGACACTTACCCACACTTGGTACATGACACTGATGATGATGGACAAACCCCGCTCTTTGTTGTGGCAGGGAAAGGGAACTGTTCTATATTACAGACAGTAGAGAGGTTTGTACTTAACTCCTTATATAGAGTTGAGGACCAACAACATAGGTGTGAGTCAGTCGATGGTCGTGTGGTTCATAGGAACTGTGTGTGTGCTCAGTACATGGCTAAGTTAGTGGATGTTGACGGGAAAACGGTGTTACATGTGAGTTGTGTGTGTGGAAACAGGGAGGTTTGTTTATATTTATGTCATTCGTACCCAGCACTAACTACAGCTGTAAGTAAGGACAACCGTCATTGTCTACATAACATAGCTAGGTCATATAGGTCAGATGTAGACTGGTTCACTGAGTGTGAAATTCATGTAAAACAATATCTAGAATCTACAGGTCGTAATTATGACATCACTACCATACTTGACAATGACGGGAAATCTGTTTTAGACGAAGCGAAGGAAAGGGCGAAGGAAAGGGGGACAAAAAACAACCCTTTGTTATTGGATCATCTTATAAAAGTGTTCGGTAAATAAAAATGATATTGATTTCTCAATGAAACGTGCACTTATAATCAACACAAACCTTTTAAAACAATCCTGTGCAAAGCTCAGATCATGATGAAGGTTTTAACGAGCACATTTTATCGGTAAATATTATGAAATATGACGAGTTTTTTAGTCCAAGATTGCCGATCTTCTTTAAATTTACGCACCGTAAAAAAACGGCCAGGGATTTCCTCTTTGAGGTGCGAGATTTTGTGTGTTTTTCTTTGGAAAACACTAAAGACCTGAATGGAGTGGATCGTATCAGGTTTGAAATAAGAATATGATGTTTTTATTCTGTTTTAATTATTACAAACATTGTCATGTTATATGTAATTTTAAATGTGCTGATGCATTGTGTTAAAAGCTGTGGAAATATTTCTTCCCAAATGAATTCTCAATAGCAGTAAACTTTGTATAAATTGTTGATAAATCTTAATGATATAATGACTTAACATGATGTTTGGAGAAAACAATGTACAGTGAATTTCACATTTCATTTTAACAGACTTGTTAGCATAGTCATTTTAAGGTAACCTATATATCATATCCCATTTTTGAGTCACTGTTAACTCCTTTGGGGCTAATCAGACATGATAGATTCATTTGACAGCTTTATTGCCTTTAGGCAGGCCTCTTGTTCAGTTGTTGAGGTCATATGAGATGAGAAACAATAGTCAAACTCTGCAGTTACCAATAAAAAAAATCCATGTACATAAGGAATGAGTGAAATTTTAGGTAAGCTCAATAATTTCTCTTTCTTTTTAACAATCTTGCACAATGGAAACGTAATAAAAAAATGCAAACTCCAGTATGATTTTAAAAGCAATAATATCATTCACAGTTACTATTTTATTATTGTTTTTGTATTCTGTAGCGTATGAGTATTTTAAATGAAAATTGGTTGCAGGATTTCATACCTATTTCATGTGAATCTGTTGAAATTAGTGAGGACTGTGATAAACCTGCATACAACGAAAACTAGCAAATGGAAACTGTTCAATAAAAAAAACATAACAAATATGTAAATTCACTTTCTTGAAATTGTCAAAATTACTTTCTATGTGATGACTGTGATCCAGTGTTCTAACAAATACAACTTAAATACGCTAAAAAGAAATTTTCTATGATGGCCCATAGAGACAAATGTTTTACTAATCATTTCAACTATGTTCTTTCATTATCATATTTATTATCATGACATGTTTATAATTGCCCATTTTTAACAGATTGTTCCATTTTTTAACATTTTATGTATTTGTTTTATTTAAGTTATTGATTTAAAATAACTTTTATTAGAATTTTCTTTGTAGTCTATGGTAGAATTTATTGGATGGTATATTACTTACTTTTTTCGATGAAAGCTAATTATGAGAGGAAGGTCATGACAAAACAAGATTTCATATTTTTGCAACTTGTGTAAAGGCTTGGTCAGGAGTGTAATATATGACTCTTTTGTCAATGTATGTGGTCACATTAAGCAAGATCCAGAGTGTATTAAACAAAACTGCACATTTATACATGTTTCCTAATGAGTACATTTTCTGGTCAAGCTTCTTGTAATGTTTGCAATGTTTTCAAAATTCCTTTTTTGAAGTCTTCTTCTGCTATCCTCTGTAGTCATTCTCTCAAACCATGATACAAATGAATTTACTGAGTGTAGTGAGCTTATTTTTCTTTTGTCTGATGTATGAGTATTTAATCCTTTTATCTGATGTATGCGTAAATAATCCTTTTGTCTGATGTATGAGTATTTAATCCTTTTGTCTGATGTATGAGTATTTAGTCCTTTTGTCTGATGTATGAGTATTTAATCCTTCATGCAGAGCAGAGTGGATGGGGCATGGCCATTTTTTTCTGATGTGTTAATAAAATAGTTCTTTTTTAAGATAATAATGTTTAAATCCCCAAACCAAAATTTACAAAACGAAAGGGGGGGAATGGCTCTGCACCACATGGATTCTCTTGTGAAGAGTGATGAGTGTTTATATTGTCATCAAGTATTGGGACATATTACTTGTTGTTATCTATCTTACCTGTCTGGTCGCTGTGTGTTATATGAAACTAAAAGACTGTTTTTAACTGTGATAACATGTGGCGGCCAGATACTGTGTGATGAATTATGACTGAATCTTGTATAATATGATTACCATTTTATATGAAATATTTAGTACTAATAAAACGTTTGTTGCCATGAACAGATTTTCATGGATCTGTAACTGAAACGACTGTTGATGATGTTGACATATATTTGATTGTGGAACATCTGGGCCAGACGTTTACCATTGAGTAGCTATAGATAGCTCAGTAAGTTAGAGCGACAGTATAATGATCGGGAGTCCTCGGGTTGAATCCTGGCCAGGCCCAGTTGTATTTGTAAACTCAATAGGTTAGAGTGACGGTATATATCGGTAGTCATGGGTTTGAATCCTGGCCTGGCCCAGTTGTATTTGTAAACTCAATAGGTTAGAGTGACGGTATATATCGGGAGTCCTGGGCTTGAATCCTGGCCTGGCCCAGTTGTATTTGTAAACTCAATAGGTTAGGGTGACGGTATATAACGGGAGTACTTGGTTCGAATCCCGGCCTGGCCTTCTTGTATTTTTAGATTCAATAGGTTAGAGTGACATTAATATGATGAGTCATTGGTTTGAATTCTGACTTGGTCTAGTTGTATTTTTATACTCAATAAGTTAGTAACATTAATAATGATCTGGACTCCTGGGTTCGAAAACTGACCTAGTCCAGTTGTATTTGTAAACTCAATAGGTTAGAGTGACGGTATAATGCTGAGTCCTTGGTTCGAATCCTGACCTGGTCCAGTTATATTTTTATACTCAATATTTCGGTTAAAGTGAAAATGTAATGATCGGGGGTACTGGTTTTGAATCCTGACCTGGTCCAGTTGTGTTGTATATTCAAAAGGTTAGAGTGACGGTATAATGATCGGAATTCCTGGGTTCGAATCCTAGCTTGGCTCAGTTATATCTTTATACTCAATAGTTTAAAGTGACAGTATAACGATAAGGAGACATTAGTTCAAATCCTCACCTGGTCCAGTTATATTTTTATGCTCAATATTTTAGTTAAAGTGATAGTGTAATGATCGGGAGACGTGATTTCGAATCCTGACCTGATCCAGTGGTATTTTTATGCTCAATATTTTAGTTAGAGTGACGGTATAATGATAAGGAGTCCTGGGTTCGAATCCTGACCTGGTCCAGTTGTATTGCATACTCAATAGGTTAATGACATTAATAATGATCTGTTCCCATGGTTTCGAATCCTGACAATTACCAGGAACCAAGCCTTAGTTCGAATCCTAGCCTGGTCTAGTTGTATTTTGATATTCAATAGATTAGAGTGAAAGTATTATGATCGGGTGTCCTAGCTAGCTTGGTTCGAATGCGGATGTGGTCCAGTTATATTTTCATACTCAATACGTTAGAGTTACAGTAGAATGTTTGAGAGTCTTCGGTTCGAATCCTTACCTGGTCCCGTCATATTCTTATACCCAATACGTTAGAGTGGCAGTATAATGTTTGAGAGTCTTCGGTTTGAATCCTGACCTGGCTCAGTTGTATTTTTATACTCAATAGGTTAGAGTGACGGTACAATTATCAGGAGTCCTCGGTTTGAATCCTGGCCTGGTCTAGTTATATTTTCTAATCATTTCTGCAGGGGCTGGTTATTAATATATGATTTCTAACAGGTATAATTATTCCAGATAAAAGTTTTGAATGCATTATTACATGATTAATCTTGATTTTGTCAAAATGTTCACTTGTTCCAAAATTCATTTTGTTTCATTTCATAAGGAGTATTGTTTTAAAAATGTAACATCTTCTTAATTTTGAAGGTAAAAGCAATGTTGTTTTTTCCCTATATTTAATAATTGTCTGTAGTCTGTATATACCAAATGACTGTTACCTTTACAAAAGTAACCTTATCTGTCTGAACAATGAGACAGATGGTACTAGTGTATGTACTTTAGAATTATTGATGATTTAAGTGTTATAATAATTTGTATCAGGTGAAAAGAATGTTTTGTGCTTTCATGATGTAATATGTTTTTCCGGGAATATAAACATCAATTGAAATATTCTAATATATATAGTTTATATTTGGATAAATAAAGAAAATACGTTTCAGAGATGTACACACAAATATATTTTTCACAAATACATGACATTTAGTGTGTATTATGCAAACAATTTGTACAATAAACATAATTGTATCTAGAAAATGGTTTTTTTTTAAATTTATTTTCTCACTTGGTCTAAAGGATCATTCTGAGGTCATGCCATACAGCGGCTTTTGTCGTCAGTTAAAAATAGATGCGGGTGCGTTATAGCAATCAGGGTGTCAATCAGTCTGTCTGTCCATCCACACTTTCGTTTCTGGAGGATATCTTGGAATCTGTAAACCTGATCTTTCTGAAATTTGACTTGTTATACACTGTGAAATGTAATTGTGCAATAGGAGTTCAAAAGTTAAGGACAGGGTCAATGTCACTGTTACTAAAAATGAATGGGGAATAGGGTGTGGTCCTTTTCTAGAAATCCAAAATTCTAAACTTTTTTTCAAATTTGACACAGCAATACACTGTGATATGCAGATGTGCAATAAGGGTTCAAAAATCACTAAGGTCAAGGTCAACATCATTGTTGCGGAATCCAATAGTTTAATCTTGATGAAATTTGATCTGTGATATGGACAGTATGTAGATGTGCAATAATAATAATGGGCGGATTGGTCGAGAAGGCCGGGGTTCGATCCTCGAAGTCGTCGTACGCATGGAATATCAGAGAAAGATGTTTTCTCCTGCCCACACAACTCCAACAACCCAGGTGGAGTATAAAATGGTCTGGGATGGATGTTGCGGTATCTGTGTTGTAGCATTCAAGTGAGGTGACACTATAAATGATGTCGTTGGAAGCACGGTTCCACTACAAAAAAGAACACAATACATCTCCAGCACACGCAGGCATTCACAGAAAGGGAGATATTAGCCAGGTGGCATAGGGCTAGAAGTTAGCGCCTGATAAGGCAGCTCCTGCGAAATCCTCAAAATTGAATTAATATATATATGCTAATTGTATTAACTGTATATCTAAGTACTGTAAAGCGCTTTAGAGTGGCTTATGTTAGCTAGATAGGGCGCTATATCAAATGTTGTGATTATTATTATAATAAGTAGTTTAAAACTTTTGAAAGTCAATGTCACTATTTTATAGTGAACACTCTTGCGTAACACGTACAAATAAAAGAAACCCGATGCATTTGAAAACCTACCATAAAATCCCATAGACCTAGCAAGCCAATTCACTTACATAATTTGTGAATTCGTGTGTGCACAAATTCCGTATATGGAAGAAGCCATTTTGGATCCACCTGATGCAGAACAATTTCTCAATAAAGTTAATCTATTTCAATACAAAAACAAAAGGTCTCAGATAACGGTTTTTTTTCTTGTTCAGTTTCAATTTTGCTATATATGACATAAGAGAGAGCGAAAGTAATTGTAACTCCTGGATATCGAGACGTAATTTATGATTCAATATCACAACACCCCCTCCCAGTTTTATTAATTTGTATTTCAACTGATTACATCTAACTTTTATTGCACGGTACTGTGTATCAGCATTAGAATTTCCGGACGAATATCATGTGAAGATAAGAATGGACATACATATTTCCAATCAGATGACTGAAGAATGTTAGGATACTATTTTTAATTCTTTACGTTAACGTTACCGATCTACTGAAACACGGACTTAAATAGCCAATCTAATTATGTGACTAAACCAAGCTCTGCCTATCACGAGAAAGACCTAACACAGGGACGTTATTCAAAGAAAGTGTAGAAGAAATTGATGCACATTCATTTTTGTTACAAACCGCCTAAAAAGTGTCCGATTAGATTAAACCGATGTGAATAACGTCTGCGTTGCTGCTTGCTCAGATGGTCTGATGATTGAATGATGAAAATTTCCTAATCCGTTCTTCACATCTCATCAAAAAGTTGAATAATTACAATTGGGGTCCCCT